TAAGGAGTGTTCTCACCCGATCAGGTTGTAGTTGACGGACAGAATTTCAAGGTGAACGAAGCTCTGGACATGAAAGTTCATCTCAGCGGCTGTGAGATCGTGATGTTCATTATCACCGCAAAGCTCGCGGGGATGTCCTGGATGGCATTTGCGTTCAACCAAAGTGTCCTACATTGCCATGCAGTCAATCGGTGAAGATGATGGTGATTGAGACATTTTTGATCATCATCATTACTACCACCACCATAGATCTTTCCCACTCTTCTTCTCCTCCTGCTCCTGCTCCTGGCTCTGCTCTTCCTCTTCCTCTTCCTGTTCCTTCTTCTGCTCCTCCTCCTCCTCATTATGATCAGTGGCATCATCACAGCCATAATCGCATGAAAATAAGCAAGGATAGTAAAACTTCTCATCACTCACTTCAAACTTCGCAAGTTGCCGAGGTCATCCGGTATTTCTCTGAGCAGGTTGGACGTCAGCCAAAGGTGCTCCAAGTGAGGTAAGCGAAGCTGCAGGAAACCGTCACACACCATCATCCACCTGCTGCTGCTGCTGTTCCTCCTCCTCCTCCTCCTCCTTCTCCTCCTCCTCCTTCTCCTCCCCCTCCCTCCTCTCCTTTCCTCCAGTAATCATCCGCTGCATCGCCAAACATGCTCAACCTGTGGAGGCTCATTCTTCGTCGAGCTGCTTCTTCCTATCTGCACGTTGTCTGCCATCAACATCACACCATGTTGTTTCCTCCAAGACAAACTACCTATTGAACCTCTCAGCCGCGCTGACTTGGCATCGTAGGACGGCTTGCCCTCGAGCTTGCCTGCCCTGCAACATGACGGCAACATCAGCTTGCTCGAGAAGAACCTCCTCCTCCTCTCACTGTTGCCTCGGTCTCAGGTATCCTCCGAGGTCCTCAACCTCTGCTCCAGCTGCTCTCCCTTGTCATCCCCAAGATACTTGACAGGATAGGTGAAACTCTTACTGAGCAGGTTGAAACTAAGATCCAAGGCCTTGACCGGCTCCCGCTGCGCCAGGTCGAAGATCTCCCTGCCATGGCGCTCGTCAGTCGTGCACCATGACGCATGCTGTGGTACTTGGGTATCTCCTGAAGTTTCTTTCTGCTGTAAACGACACCTGAGCTCTGCGTGTCTTCCATCTTCCGGGGTCATCTGACCATTGCAAGGAGTTGTTGACATGTCAAGTTACCAACACGCGAAAATATGTAACAGTACAACAAAAAAAAACAGATAACAACAACATGAAATCTTTGCAGAACAAAAAAACACGTAAAAACGCTTGTATCACACAGTGTGTCCAACAAAACATTCTTCTTCGTGAGCACAGCATGATCATCGCAGCATGATTGTACGAGAGAGCGTAACGAGACAGCAAGAGGCCGCATCTCACAGCATCTCCAGACAAGTTTCGACTCTCTTACTTCCTCTTTGATGCCATTTCTTTCCTCCGGCGCCCTTCACCTCCCGCTTTCCCGCCATTCCTTCCTAGCCACCATAATGCCTTGACCGGAAATTGGGTATGAGGGGGATGAAAAGTGGTTTATAGTGGGGATGAGGGATGGGGTACAACGGCTCCCGGCATGGAAATGAAGGATCAGAGGCAAGGAACGGAGAGGGAGTGAGAGGAGGTGGAGAGCGAGGAGGGAGGAGGAAGGAGAGAGAGGAGAGAGAGAGGAGAGAGAAGAGAGGACGGAGCGAATGAGCGGGACGATGATGCGAAGCATGCTTACAAGATGGAGAGAGTCTAGATGGTTGAAATGCCCTGAGTTTGAAGGGCTTCACTAGCTGAAGTCTGCTAGGGAGGCACAAAGGGTCAAGCAGGCAAAGAAAATTTTGCAGTCTCTGAAGAAACAGCAGTTCAAGAGTGATTCACATCGCACGGAGACGTCCAGGCCTCAAACTTCAACTTCATTCCTGGCGAATCAAACATACCCGCCTTGTTTCAATTCGAACGAACCTCGAACCGTCAGAATGCCGAAACTCTCCTGCTGATCTTCTTCAGAAGCTTCTGACAACTCAAGACAGACCATGGCTTCATCAGAGAACGTGCGTGTCATCCTCCGAGTTCGCCCTCAGACGTCCAAGGAAGCAGAAAGAGGGGAAGACGAAGTGATCCGCTGCATATCGGATCAGTCGATCCAGGTTTACGACCCCACACAAGTGAGAGGAGGACGGGCCAGCACGGCCCTTGCGTACCAGTTCGAGCAATGCTTCGGTCCCACGTGCATGCAGGACGAGCTCTTCTCCCGCTGCGGGGTCAAGACTCTACTCGACCACGTCCTCGATGGGTACTCGGCTACAGTGATCGCCTACGGGCCGACGGGGTCGGGGAAGACCTTCTCCATCGCAGGCAAGCCGGACAGCATCGTGAGGAACGGGACGGGGGACGGGACGGACGGGCTGGTGATCAGGAGCATTGAGAGCTTGTTCGACAAGATCAGGGAGCGGCAGCGGGACGGGCTGCAGTTCAAGGTCAGGACGAGCTGCGTGGAGATACATAACGACGCTGTCATCGACCTCCTACGGTCGTCGAGGAAGCAGAAGGGGTGCGAGACGCTGCCGGTGAAGTTCGACACGGCCAGGGGGTCGTTCTTTGTCCAGGACCTCTCGTACGGCAAGTGCCCGTCCGAGGAAGAGATCCTGCGGCTGTACATGAAATCGCTGAGAAACCGCAGCGTTGCTGCCCACGAGATGAACCGAGACTCGTCTCGTTCCCATGCTCTCTTCACCGTCTATGTTGACTCCATGGTGAGGATGCTCTCCCTTCCTGCTCGCAACTGCTGACGGGTTGAGCAAGGTGAGGCAAGACTCTGGTCACATTGTGACCAGGCACGGCAAGATGACGTTCGTGGATCTGGCGGGGAGTGAGAGGCGAGTGAAAACTTTCCAATATCTACACCGATGTCTCCTTCTCCTCCTCCTCCTCCTCCTCGTCCTCCTCGTCCTCCTCGTCCTCCTCGTCCTCCTCGTCCTCCTCGACACTTTTGTCGGCCTCACACGCATTCTCCTCCTCCCCATCCGCTTTGTCCCTCTTGCTTCCCTTCCTACTTCGTGTCTCTTTCCGTTCCCTCCTCTCCCACAACCTCCCTGTGCTCGCTCATTGCTTTTTCACTCCCTCCCTTTCTCCTTCGCCCTCCTCCTCAAACGCGGCAACCAGGTTGAAGGATTCCAAGTCGGAAGGCTCAACTCTGAGGGAGACAGGAAGTATCAATCGCTCTCTCTTCACCTTGGGGAAAGTTATCTCCTCTCTATGCGATCGCAAGAAGGTCCTCCCTCCCTCCCTCCCTCCCTCCCTCTTTCCTTTGCTCTCCTCTCTATGCGATCGCAACAAGGTCCTTCCTCCCTCCCTCCCTCCCTCCCTCCCTCCTCCCTTTGCTCTGCCAGCTTGCCTGTCTGCCTTTTCCCTGTTTTGGCCCGCTTCTCCCTCCCTCATTTCACTTCCCCCGTTCCCTCTGCTCCTACTTCTTTCCATCCTCCGCCGCCACCACTACCACCTCCTCCTCCTCCTCCTTGTCCTCCTCCTCCTTGTCCTCGTTCTCCTCCTCCTCGTTCTCCTCGTTCTCCTTCTCCTCCTTGTCCTCCTCCTCCTCCTCTCAAGGATTGTGTGCAGGTCAAAGTTCCCTTCCGAGACTCGAAGCTCACGCAGCTGCTCATGGACTCCATCGGAGGAAGCAGCATGACTCTGATGATTGCCTGCGTCTCTCCCTCCTCCGGCCACATCAACGAGAGCATGCGAACGCTGGACTATGCCAACAAGGCGAGCAACGATGATCCCTTCTTCGTCCTCCTCGTCCTCGCCGTCCCCCCCTTTCCTTCTCCTCTTGATTTTCCTCCTCTTTCTTCGCCACCCCTCTTGCTCATTCTCGCATTTTC